CTAATAACTCTGTGGATTATAATATGTGAAGTTTTTACAGAATGTCACAATTTCATTGATATAAGAGCAAAACAGTTGTCCAAGTTAAATAAATTTGTAAATATTTTTACCTGGATGATGCTTCAGCCATTGGTCTTAAAATTAGCATATTAAGAATATTGTATGCAAATTTTATTTTAAATTATTTTTGAAATTAGAGCAAGTATAGCAGTCTTATGATTACTATTTTTAAGTCAGTGGCTAGAGTGAAAAAATGGAAGACACTAGGAAGAAGGGAGGTGTCTTGATAAATGATATATATATGTGTGAAAGAATATTGTTATTCACATAATTAGGAGGAAATTTAAATTGTTGAAGTGTGACCAGCATAAGAAAGATAAAATCAGGCTTTAGTGCCATAGTCTTAATTAGTACAAAATTTCTCATGAACTCAACTTGTCCTGGTCATAGACCCTTTTTTTTATGGGGAACACAATATAATGATGTAATAATGTGTAAAAGTTCTATACAAGGAAGTAGCTACTAAAGGTGAAATCTACTCTGTGATTGGATGCCTATCATACGTATGTAGTAAATAACAATTCCCTAATTTATTAATACTCCTTTGTACCTTGCAGACTGATTGTGTATGATGTGTAGTGCTCTATAACAAGGTCCTTTCTTGCAGTCTAATGTGACAGTGTGTCCATGTGTCATTTGTTAAGAATGGCAAGCTTAGTGTAGGATTATAGTTCATAACAGGAAGGTTTGGAAAATAAGAATATGTATAGGTTATCATACACTTTATGTAAGTAGGAACAGAATTTAAAAAGTCTTACATAAGTATGATGTATTTATACATGTAATAATTTAGTTTATTAAGGAGGAAAAAGTGAGTCATAATTTTTTGTTGAATAAGACTATTGGGGGAGAGGGAGATTATAGTTCTGTTACAGTATGGAGGGGGGAGGGGTCACTGAGTGTTCCATAAGAAAATTGATTTGCTAAAAAAAAAAAGATAATTCACCTGCAGGTCTGATTTTTATTTCATTTATGGTCATTATAGCATATTGTTGAACGTTGACAATGTTTAAATATACAATGTATAATATTCTGGTATAATACTTACATGTAATGGTCTAAACCACAGACTTTTTCAAGAAAATTCACATTGATTTGAACATACTAGATGATTAATGCATTTATATATTTAGCAGGAAACCTGTTTAGATTTCTATTCATGATTGATCCTGTACATGTAAATTTAATAATGTTCTGCTCCTGTAATGTTTGAATTCTAAGGATGCTAAGGCTTAGAATTTGAAGTGCTGTATATATACTTTTTTCTGCTTGCTATTAATGTACACTAAATATACTTGGTTACATTTTCCATGGAAAGGACAAGTGCACTTAAGCAATGCTTAATGGGCCCTTTTTCAGTGCTGTTTTACTTTAGAATATATTACCAAATTGTTCTTTTTAGGTAACAGTTAAACACAACAGGGGTTCAAAATTCCTCAAGCCCGACGTCCCGGACTAACAAATTCCGGATCCGGACTCGGCATTTAGAATCGCAAAAAGTCCTGGGACTAGGCAATGTTTCTTGTTTATCTTTTATTTAAGTTAAGTAAATATGATTTTATCTATCATGAAAATATGGACCCAGAAATTTCTTCCTCGGACTTAACTAAAATTTACTCTTTAAGTCCTGGACTTGACCATGATAAAAAATTTTTTGAACCCCTGCACAAGTGGTTATTTCTAATTAAAATCACGTTAAAACATCACCTCAATCAGCATGGATTTGAAACAAATGAAGATTTTTTAAGCCCATAGCTACCCCAAACCGGAAAAGTTGTACCGATCCTATTTTGAGTTTTGTTTATTTAAATCAAGGGGAGGAGACATTTAAATCGGACACTTGAACAATCTGATGGTGGATCATTGACAGGCGTGTTTGCCAAATGATACTTCTTGTGCTATTTTACCTGAGAAAAAAATGAAGTTGTATAGATGCCTGAAGCCATAGTGATCAAACTAAGAAATTTGCACGCTTGCATTTGAAATAATACAAGAAGTATTACCATTAGTTCCTTTAAATTTTAAAATGAAAAAAGTGTATTTAGATGGCTTTCAATACCGGTTTCATTGTCTTGCATGAATGTTAAAAATGTTTAACACTTTTATGTATGATGACATTTTAATGACACTAAACTCTCCTAACACTCTCGTGTTCCTAAAACCAAACAACTTCGATATAATGATACGAAACGTGGCTATCTTTTGCAGTGAGCACCTTTGAGGAATGTTTACCCGGGTAGAACTCACGTGGCTACTGGTATTTTAAATAATTTATTCCACGGGTGGGTTCAACATAGGTCATACAGGTAAATAGCTCTAGCTTGCTATAGGAAAAACATTGAACTTTTCATACATTTTTAATGTTTTAAGTACAAGCCTAATCTTGTACAAATTTCCAACTTTCACACAAGTTTTATGTATAATGCGCTTTTTGTCATTCGCAAAAGTTTGTACAACGTAAGGCTGACAGTAAACAAAAGCTTTGAAAGGAATGCCCATCCTCGATTTACTACAGAAAATCACGAATGTTGGCAGACCCCTACCACATTGTATGGCTTTGCTCTTTGTGTATTCATGAGTTTCAGTGACAAAAATTTGTTGAATCTTATGGTTTAGATATCAATTAATGATCTGAGATGAAAAATTATGCTTAATTTGATTCTTCATTTTTTTCACATTTCACCGGGGCCCATAAGTGCACTCGTTCTTTGTCACAGTAAACTTAATATACTGTATAAAGAAAACACCATTCCTTTTAGCATAAAGAAATCTTAATATAATGTTCTACACACAAATTAAATAAAATTTGTGATTCTGTGAAATTATGACCCTTTGAAAAAAAAAAGATTACAGCAACTCAATTTCACCTTATTGCAAGGTCTTTGGTTTTAAATTTTGTGACTTTCAGAATCTCCCTAATTTTGGCCAAGAAGAATAAAAATTGTTTGAATGCTACTTAATGAAGATGACATAATCACTAAAGGATTTATGTTAATTCAAATTATTTTTGAATTTAAGTGCAAATTTAAGGATTATAATAGCATGCAATATATTAAAAAAATTATCAAGGGTAAGCATTAATTCATGATAAAATCATAATATAGCCTGAGAGAATATTGTGACTAAATGGGTTGAAATTTTGCATAAAAAGGAAAAGAAACAAGAAAAACAAAATGATATGAAGTATGAAAGACTATGAATTAATGCCACAAAAACTCCAATGAAATCAGCCACTCTCTGCATGTAGAGTTGGAGGCCTTAATTAATGGCCGCTAATTACATCTCTTTATCAGAATATTGTGAGCTACTTGTAAAAAAAAAATATGTCACAGTTACAGAAATATAGATATTATCTGGCAATAAATGCTGAAATTATAATAAAGCTGACACCTCTGTTGCATTGAAAGTAAATTAAGCACCTGTATTCAAGTTTAACAGTTATTTCAAGTTACAGTTTGATGTTATTTTGTTTTATGGTCACAATTATCCAATCATTCTTGGAAGTGTTACTTCAGTATTTTAATGAGCAGAAGAAATTGAATGCATAATTTTTTTGTGGAATGTTCAACTTGGTTTCTAACATTAGTTTGTCATTAACATAGAATAATAAAAATATATTGTATATCTTTGCTGGGAATGACTGTATTAAAAAAAAGCATGCTGATCCATATTCCATAAAAATAATACAGTACAAAATACAGTAAAAATAATACAGTGCGTGATAAATTGCTCTACATATAACTTAGAGTGGAAAATAAATGATATAGCGAGCCATTTATTTATTGTTTCTATTCCTTTTAACTTTAGATGCATGCAGAAAAAAAACCCTGAGGCACAATTCAAATGAAATAGATCTGCAAAGATATATACGTAAGCCGTATAATTAATGGCTCCAGGTATTATGACGATAAACTTAATTAAACAATCGTGTCCTGTGGATAAAAGATTAAGCCACTTCTTATAGAGATTTGGTGCTTTCGTATCTTGTTTTCACACTTACTGACACAAAGTACACAATATTTGTGTGAACGTTGACTTCTACATATTGCGTCTCATCTTAACAGCACTTTTAAAGGGAATTCTATTTCTTTTTTTTGGTATAAACTTGACAGGAATTTCCTGACTTTTTCTTTATAGAACAGGTAAGGGATTCATGAATACATCATTCTGTAAACAAATCATATCGCATTGGATAATTAATATATTTTTATTATTATTTTTTCTGCAAAAAAAGTAGAGTTGGACTCTATTGATAATTTAAGAGCCTAGCAAATGTATTGTAGTATTTTTGGTAACCTTTTTATTTGCGTACCCCTGCTATTTTTTTTTCCCCATTCACGGTGTTCGCAGTTGAAGTCCAATTCTAGAAGGCTTTAAAATTGTTTAAAATATCATTCCACATGTTAACTGATTGTTTTGTCCTAACTCTGATTCTTTGCTCTGCATGAAAGTTTTATGAAGAGCTGTTGAATATTATATTATATAAAATTTTTAATACCAAAAGTTTGGTTTGCAAAATATTTGATATGGAAATCAGCAATGGAACAAAATATTACTGAAAAGTAATATATTTTATGGAATATTTTCAGTAATTTAAAAATGAAATCTCTTCAAGACTGAGCTCATCAATTATGCATATATTGAGAGGATGAAAAACATAATTTACTGTGGTTGTTTGATTGCTAATGCAAAATGAAAATATTGCTGCATTAATTGTCATTTTACCATTTTAAATGAGATCTCATTAACCCAGACGTAAAACATTGTTAGCATTTAATGTTTATATAAATTACCAGCTGTTTCCTCTGGATGAATCTTCACCTGGTACGGACATCTCCTACCAGCAGATAATGACACAATATTGATATGTTTTCTTTTAATGTTTTTAATGCGACTTTGTCAAGTTCACTTCTTTTAATGGACTATACTGTTTCTTGCAGTGTTTAGAATCCAAAAAGACCTCCCATGGGCGAAACACCTTAACCTTATTTGAGGAGTATATTAAGAAGAAAGATTCTTCAGTGAATGCAGTCATGAAGGCTTTGGAGAGTATGGAGAGAAAAGATGCTCTTGAGGTTCTCCAAAACTCAATACCAGGTAATTTTCATTAATTTAAACAATAAAATGCTTTCTTTGGTTGTTAGTGCTGATATTAATGTTGCAACTATTGCAGAAAAAATACACAACCCACATTAGCTGGTTATGTAAATTTTTTCTGCAATAGCTGCAAGGTTAATTCCCATACTAACAAACAAAGAAAGACATTTTATTTTTTATATTTATATCTGTATAAATAATCAAATAAACTAGAATTAAGTATTGTATTATTGATATGTATGTCATTGTATGTTTCATTGATGGAAGAGCTGCTGCTCAAAAAATCTATACAGGTGACTTACTTAGCGGCATTTATTAATCAATTTTGTTTAGATCATGACCCTAAGGGGCAGGATGGGGCCACAATTGGTGATCAAAGTTTTTACTTGAGAATGAATAGGAAAAATCTGCTGCTGTAGAGCACCAATGCCTTGATTAGTTAAACATGTATTTATGTGGAAGCATCCCCAGGTTGTGTAGATTCAGTTTTGTTCAAATCATGATTTCAGGTGGTAGAGAGGGGCCACAATGGGTGGTCAAAGTTTTACACAGAAATACATAGGAAAAAAATCTTTAAAAATCTTCTCAAGGACAGGAAAGCCTTTATTACATGTAGTCATATTTATAAGGCAGCATTCCCAGGCTCCGTAGATTCAAATTTGTTCAAATCATGACTCCCGGGGCTAGGAAGGGGCCACAAAAATGGCTTTTTTGACTGCTAGTTCAAGTAAGGCTAATACATGTGTATAATATAAACAAAAAAATATTTTAAAAGTATAGCTCATAATGCACTAATTTATGATGTTGCTAACCAGCAGATTGCACTAAATTTTAATTGAGCTTATTTATGTATCTTTACATTATCTTCCCGTTTTTGTGACTTGAAAACTAATATTATTGGGATATTTTCTGTGTATTTTAGAAATTCAGAGACGGTTTGAAGCAGACTTGAAGAGCATGCCTATGAAACAGGAACCCCAAGAACACAATGAATGTCCACCATGTTTCCATTCTTATCCTAATGGTTCCTTACCCTCTTCCCACCACTCCAGTTATCCAAGGTTCAGTGTACCTTGTTCTCACATGCCTCATCACATGAACATTGTAGGGTCTTCTCATTCTAATGCTTACAGCAACCTGGAGCCAGATATGCCAAAAAAGATCAACACCTCATCTGTTTATAACTCTACAAAGCATGTCACACAGGGGATACTACGCATGGGAACAAACTATCAACACTCAGGGACCCATACAGGAATATCCACAAACATTCGAGGAGGCAGCATGGCGGTGCAAGTAGACAGGAGAGATAATTACACCAGTGATGAGATTGAGATGGGGGAGCTGCCAAGTCATACCAGCCGATACCGTGAAGACCCACAACCACTTCCTGCTGGGATTTACAGAGGCCAGTTTATGAATTCTCTCAGTCGAGCCTCCAACATGGTCAACTCACAGGACATGGCAGTGGCAAGCGAAGAAGTGGTGGATACTAGCCCCAGCTATATTGATGCAGTCAAACAACATGGGTCTCTAAAGAGACAGAACTCTGTAGAGTCCAATGCAAGGCAACCAGTTGGTGAGATTCATGGTAAGAAACCAGAGTCCAACAAAAAGCTAGCATTGAACATCCCCACCTCGTACAACAGAAACCACATGCAGGCAATGAAGCTACAAAATAACTTTATCAGCCCGAGTCCCAATCAGACTCCTACCACATCCTTACAGAATCCTCTAGACAAACTACGACAAATCACTGGGTCCAACTCCTACATGCCAGATGAGAAGTACCAGAGCATGATAGAAGAGAAGAACCGTGAGGAGATGTTATATAATAGTAACAGATGTGGATCAGAGGAAAATTTTAGAAAAGGCACAACGTCATCTTGTCAGTATGAGGCAGATCCCAACAGCAGAGGGGTATTAATGCAGGCAGGGGATTCAGGGTGGTTTAACTTCAAACAAGGTCAGCGGGGGAACTCTCAAATGGCCAACCACATGAAGCTAACAAAGGACCTGGGTCCTCGCACATTTCCCCTGAGGTCAAAGTCACTGACGACTTGTGCGGGTGGTGAGGCTGATTCCCAGGAAAGATCTAACCTGTCGAAGTCACAGTCCATGCCTCACGACATGAAACCAGCAGAATATAGAAAAGGTCAGTTTTCAGGCTTAATCTATATCATGATATCACACAGAAATATTACCTTACACATTCATTTGATTTATTACTCGCAAGAAGTGTCAAAAACAGTAAATAATTACTTCAAAGTTCTTTTTCCCTTAAAGTTTCAAAAATTCAAAAAAACCTTTTTCATGAAGACTGAATCACTGTGGCCAGATGTCAATCAGTAAAAAACCGTGAAAAGTATTTGTGTTTTCCCTTTAACATACTTCCCTTTACATGAGTATGAAAATGTGAGCAAAAAGAGATTATTGAGCATAAAAAGGTGTACCCTGCAGAAAGATCTTGTAAATTGAAGAAATAACTTATTTATTTATATGGTAGTAGCATATTCTTGGTCCAATCTTGTTCATTTCAGGCCTTTCTGTTAAGGGCCCTCTATACACTAGAGGAAAGTATTTTTTGGACATTGAGAAAATTATAGTGTGTAAAGGGGTAAGCATTGAGCTTATCTATCACATTTTCAGCATAGGGTGCCTTGCATTTACCCCCAGGAAAATGTTCAAAGACAATGATGTATTGATGAGCATAAATCACTGTTGTTTACTTAAGTGGGCAAAATACCTGCACATGAAGTGTTCTATCTATTCATTTTGGCCTATTAAAGTGTTATGAATGCTTGATTTGATCACAAATTAAGTAATAAACTGTACATTTCAATTTATTTTATTCTTGATCAAAGGGCAGATCACTCTATCTGCATAAAAATACCACAAAATCAGAACTCTCTAGTGTGCAGTGTATAGAGGGTTCTTAAGCTTGGAAAAACTTTAAATCACCCATGGGTGATCTCGTCTTTTATTCATCACCTGTGGGCAAACTCACCAAAATATCTGTAAAATATGCTATTTTGTTGATTATAGACAACCAATCAGAAAATTGGAACTTTTCAATTTTGAAAATAATAATTATGTTTATTAGTTTGCTAAGCTATTTATGCTTAGTATCTCGACGCTCGTTAAAAGATGCAAATTTGGTTTTAAAACAAAGACAAATCATACAGGTCACTTACATCAAATACCAGTAGAAATTATATGGGAGTACCTTTAATTCTCAAACTGCGAAATGCACTGGTGAGTGGATTTATTTGCAATCCATGTGTTAACTACGGAAAAGTTTTTGTCATTGCCAAACATACTGATGTACATGTAATGTAAACTTTAATTTGTTGATTTGCCATCGTGACTCTGTGGAGCAGCCAATCAAATGACCCGAGCATATTAATTACATACGACAATTTTTCCTCAAGTTTGCTCATGGGTGATGAGTAAAAGATGAGATCACCCCAGGTTATCCGATGTTGAAAATGGAGTTGCTTTCCATGAATTAAAGTACTGGCTAGACAGAGTTGATTGTCTGTTCTGTAGTATATTTTAGGTTATATCATGATGCATTCAGTGAAGTTTGTAGCTCCAGATTCTATAGATAAGAGACCCTCCTACATTTTTTCAATGATGTTAAAAGAAGGTTTTCATGGATACTTGCATAACAGGTCATTTTTTTGAGCTTGCTTGAAATGCCCAAGTTGGTAGTTAAAAAAGAAAGCTAGGTTTTTAGCTCACCTGAGCTGAAGGCTCAAGTGAGCTTTTCTGATCAAAATTTGGCCATTGTCTGTCGTCATTGTTGTTATTGTCGTTGTAAACTTTTCACATTTTCATCTTCTTCTCAAGAATGACTCAGTCAATTTGAACCAAACTTGCCACAAAGTATTCTTGGGTAAAGGGAATTCAAGTTTGTTCAAATGAAGCACCACGCCTTCTTCCAGGGTGAAATAATTATGAATTCTTGAAAAATTAACATTTAAAAACCATATTCTCAAGAACCTCTATGCTTGAAAACATGAAACTTATGTGGAATCATTTTGAGGTAGTGTAGATTCAAATTAGTTCAAATTTTGACCCCCGGGGGTAGGGTTGGGCCACAATGGGCGATCAAATTTTAACATTGGAATACATAGGAAAAATCTTTTAAAATCTTCTCCTCAAGAACAGCAAAGCCATGATTTGGTGATATTTATATGGAAGCATCCTCAGGTAGTGTAGATTCAATTTTGTTCAAATCATGACTCCCAGGGGAAGGTTGGGACCACAATGGGCAATCAAAGTTTTACATAGGAAAAATCTTTTAAAATCTTCTTCTCAAGAACAGCAAAGCCATGATTAGTAATATTTATATGAAAGCATCCTCAGGTAGTGTAAAATCAAGCTTGTTCAAATCATAACCCCCTAGGATAAGGTGGGGCCACAATGGACGATCAAAGTTTTACATTGGAATATATAGTGAAAATTTTTAAAAATCTTCTCAAGAACAGCAAAGCCATGATAAGTCATATTTATATGGAAGCATCCTCAGGTAGTGTAGAATCAAGTTTGTTCAAATAATCCCCCCCTTTTCAATACTGAACTGATTTCTGCTTTTTCCTAGCCAAAGTGCTCAGGTGAGTGATGTGTCCCTGGGCCTCTTGTTTATCAATTTTAGAAATAATTCATGTTTTCAGTTGTGGCATAAAAGGGTGTTATTTACACAGGTTAGATGACAAAACAGGAAACTTTAAATTGTATTTTCAGATGACAATATAAAATTAATAGAGTATCTTTCAGACTGCCCTACTGTGAATTTGGCAGTTCCAAGTAAAACAGACTAATGTATAGTTGCTAGCACTTGACAGTGCTGGCAATAAATAACTTATCAGTACAAAATTTAAAAAAAAAAACAGCAAGAAACATAATTCTGTAAATATGGAAATCAGAAAGAGTTACGCAAGTGTGAAAGAAGGTAAAGACTTTTATTATCATAACAACTGAGCTGCAGTCTCATTGCATTTATTTTTGTTTTGTTTTAACCTTGTTGGGATTTACCATGACGTTTGAGCTGTCAATTGAACTAATAAATTTATTATTGTGAATTATGATAAATATTAAACTTATAAATATAGTAATTACCATTCCCTTGTAGATGTACATGTATAAACTGTCAACTTTTCTAATGTCATGAAGATTAGCACCTTTTTTTTATCAACTTTTATGTAAAGGGACCCATTCAGAGAATTAATAATCTTCTGTGTTATTAATGCTATTTGGAAGCAGGTGCTTTCAGTCAAAGAAATTAAATCACATTAATATCTGTCAACAATTTTTAGAGTCATTCACTTTAGTTCAGCTTCCAAATGCTTTCTTTTTCATAATTTTCAAAATGGTACACTGCATATTAGAATTTTATGTATATATTCACTAGCATAACATACTGCATAAATATGCCAGATCAGTTTTTTGTAAAATCAGGTGAAGGTCAAACCTACATGTAGATGTCAAAGGTGGCACAAGAATGAGAAACCATTGTTTGTATCATGTTTAACAAGGTATAATATTGTACTAATGCTGAATACCTGCAATACCTGTTACATTAGTTGAATACATGTAATATTTGTTAGTGATCACTTTATCTGACATCTGTCTGTCTGTCCATCTGTCACACCTCATATCTTGAGAACTGTAAGAGGTATGGATTTGATATTTTGCACATACTGTATGTGTACTTAAAAAAGCGGGCTACATATTTTAGCGGCTTTGGCGCAGACAACAATGCGCTAATTCATGAATACCGCTAAGAAATTATTTATGAATACAATATACAGCACGGACATGTATAGCGCTAATTCATGATGTCTCCAACAACTCAAAACCCAGTGATTTTGCTAAATTTTGAATATGCCAATTTATGTACACGTACAGTATATTGCATGGCACAATGGTGACACTAAATTACCATGATTATCAACCTCATGACCCTTGACCTTTGACCTACTTTTCAAAATAGTTCATAGCTCTGATATGCAGTATATTTCTTACATCTAAGAGATAAGTCTCTGCTTTTTAGCATGTACACTGTTTGTCAAAAAAACATTATAAAAAATTCCAGTGTTATAATCCACTTGACCTTGACCTTTGACCTTCATTGAAAAGATACAATGGACAGTTTAATTAAACTTATATAAGTCTTTTGAATTTTGAGAGGCAGGGTTTTGATAATAGTATTTATACATGTTCATGGGCTCTTGATACTGTACTTTGAATGTATGATAATCAGTTACTATTAGTACACAAACTTATATATAAATATGTGGAATATTCCATCGGGATCAGAACCCACAGTGGATCGTGTTGACTGAAGACTGCATTAAAGTCAGACTGAAATCTCTTTTGAAGGATTGTTGGAACATATATTAATAAAATAAATACCGGTAATTATTTCTAATAATTTCAATTTTATTATTCATTTGAGGGCTGGGGAACTATATTTTCTTCAGTTGACAGATTCTATGGCAGTTTACATGTATACTTCCATGGATTTTTGTTTTCATTGCAGGCAAGTGCATGAACTATAATGATAGTAGTAAATAAATAGCTGACCACTCTTAGATTTTTTACATCTTTAAGGAGGGATTCTTCTCTTAAGAATACTTATTTCTTATATTTAAAAATCAATGAAATTTTCACAGAATCAAGAAGACAATATCACTAAGTGATGGTATCAGTTAGATTAAATTTGACCGTTTTATATTAGAGGCAAGGTCAGGTCAAGGTCAGTACCTTTTCCCTGAACATTAAGAATAAAAAAATACTATTGCCAATCATGCGATGCCTACTTCCATTTCAATAAATTAGATGTTTTTCTTTTTGCATAAAGAGATATAACCATATAGGGTCTATAAGATGATACTATCAAATTGACATAAATAATTTGACTAAAATGGATATTGGCTAATCCGAATTTTCTCTATTTTTCTTAAAATTTTAAGATATTTTAGTTATTTTTATATGCTTCCTATATTTAAATTTTTCTTATTTTCACATATGGTAAAGTAAATGTCACATAAAGATACAAAATGATATAAAAATAAAAAGTTTTGACCGTTTACTAAGAGAGAAAAAACACTTTTTATGGATTTTTGGATCAAATCTGAACTTAGCTTGGAAGCTTTTAAAAGCTAACATAATTGTAGTTTGTTTGGAAAATCATATTTATTTGATATATTTTAAAACTTTAGTCCCTTATTATTAATTTAACTTACATTTTAAAATTTTCTCCAAGTCTTTGATTGTGTAAAAATTATAACTAAATTCATTTTTCTATAATTATTTTGAGAGGCAGAAAAGAAGATATTTTCATACGCCACCATTCCGCCAAAAATATAGTCCCTGCTAGATTTCAAACTCAGTTTACCATTTCTATTTAAAGTTGTACAATTGTGATGAGGAAAGAAAAATATGATCTTTTAAATCTCTTACGTCTAAATATATAAAACATATAAGCAAATATAGTTTGAATATTTCATCTAGTCAGAAACCAGACAAGAATCCCTCCTTAATGAAGCTATAAAGCATTCAACACATGCGTTCCATAGAACACTCTTATGTTTTAAATAATTTGTAGTCAAAATATTTTAATGTTTTGTGTTTATAAGATTCTGAATATAATGTTAGCAGGAAAACAAGATGAAAATTAATAAAGATACCTGTATATTGAAATGAACGTTTTGAAGAGCTGTAAATAAGTTTTAAGAATGTCATAGCTCACGGAGGGAAAATTTTGTCTCCTTTTTATATGACATTAATGAGTTGCTTTATTAAAACAAGTGATAATGGCTTTTGTTCTTTTTAATTTTCTTTTATGCTCCCCCACGTAGGAGCAAACAAGTAGCACCTATTGTCAGACAGTCAGACAATGGGTGTCCTTGATATGGAGTAGATTCTTGTTATACAGGGTCGTGAACAGGTTTTTGAATTTTTTTTTAACAAATGGGTACTATAAACAGGATCTAGAAGCATTACTTTATGCACTTAGATAATGAATTAATTTTGTTTCAAAATGGTATTTTCAATTTTTTTTTTTTTTTTTTTTTTGGTTTTTAATGGGGTGTCGCTCTCTTCCCGACAGCCTTGTTATAAGAGATACTCTTATTAGAACTTTAAGATTGACATATGTGTCCTATTTAAATTCTTAAATTTGAGGTTATTTTTGGTACAAAAGAAAAGGAAAGTAAGTTCTAGGCCAAAAAATTAATCTATAGTTTCTCAGGCACCACTGCATCAGGTCAAACACTGCTACATTGACATATTGAAAAGGGAAATAACTCAATTTTCTTTTTTTCTTAGTTGAAAAAGAAAATTGAGTTGATTCCCTTTTCATACATGCTTAAAGATAGATGTTTTTATTAAATACACAATATATTTCTTGTTCTTATGGTATTAAGATGGGACCTTGATAGTATGGATTATATTACAAATATGACATTGAAAATAATTTATAAGAAAAAAGTTGAAGGGGGAGGGGGGGTGTCAAGCACCTTTGAACACAACCAGTAGAGAAATATATGGTGTACTAATTAATCACTACAACATAAGAGGTGCACATCTGTTCAATTGTTAATTAGGAATGGAAAAAATGAAACCTTTGTTCCAAGGTTGACATGATTCTTATCTGTTTACGATAATTGAACAATATTTGATGGGGGTATCATGTGCCATTGCGGTGCACTTAATTGTTGATCGACTGACACAAAAAAAATGAAAACCTGCTTCAACCCCCCCCCCCACACACACACACACACAAAAAAAAATGTTGCATTGAATTTTGAAATTTTTGGCCTGTGCATGTTGCATTGAATTTTGAAATTTCTGGCATGAGAAACTATAAAAGATTAAATTTTTGGGGCCTTAAGGAGTTACTGCATCTAAGGAAGAAAACTTTCACATTGTCAATTACCATGTTTTCTATAGTATGTTGGTAAGATTTCTATCTTTAACAATGATGTTTATCAAAATTTACCTTTTTGAATACATCAGCTACATTGTTATTCTGCTTGAACTATATCCATTTTGAATTTATTTCATGTTAAGAATTTGAGTAAAAATTGTCATTTAAATTGAGCAGCAGGTTGTCCTTCCTATACAGTTGTGTGAATTAAGAACATTCGCTTGTAAAATAGAAAATGTTTCAATTTTTGATTAGATTGTAAGTTTATTATTGATAGTGTGATGATAACCATGTTTGGTTTTTTATACAATGAAATTGCCTTAAGTGTACATTGGTGGAATGTTATTTTAAATGTGTATATTGTATTTTCCAGCATTTCGTCATATTAAGGTGTTTGTCACATATTCAACGGACTCAAAACGTCACATACAGAAAGTGTTGAATCTGTGCCGATGTATAGAAAAGAATGGTTTTACTTGTTGCATGGACATGTACAATCGCCGGATGCCAACTGAGGACAAACTGGGCTGGGTCAAGGAAAGGTTTGATGAGGTAATATAATGTTTCACACAAGTTAGTGATCGACCTTAAATAATATAGTAAATGTTAACCGTTTATAAGTCATGAATCTGGAATTCCTTTAAATTTTGAAGCTTATGTTCTTTACTTGGAATAGACACTAAAGTGACATGGTCTATAACTTTTTGTGCCTTATTGTTATTTGAGAAACAAAAAGCTGCATGACTTTCTATGAATCTTTCAAAATAAACCTCAACAATCAAAATGTCACCAACTTCATTTCACACATCAAGATAAAGAACATGTTCATAGTGATGCATAAATATATATATATTTGCACCCTTGCGTATAAGTATGTATACAAGAAAAATAACTAAATCTCTATTCAATTGTATATTAATCGTACTGAAAACTCATCTAAAAGATGAATTTCCTCTCTTTTGCAACATCATGGTACTCTGTGGCTGCTAAAATTATTGGCATACCTTTGAGCAAACAAAATGCTAAATTTTACTCCTACTACTAAAGGACCCCATTATACGGTATATCCTTTTTTTGTTAGATGACTTGGAGTATTTTTCTGTCACATTAGCAAATCGCAAATAAAAATGCAGAAAAGGGTTTTCATATGGTATAGAATGTGTACCTACTACAAGTATATTACTTTCTTTTTCCCTTTTTTGTTTTTCTAATATTATTAAATGTCTTTTATTGGCCATCTATATCTTATTTAATTTGCTTGAGCATAATGCTTACACAAGAAAATAATTATTGGAACTTGAACCCCCCCTCCCCCCCCCCCCCCCCCCCCATCACCACAAACAAAAATCAAATGAAAGCTTTTATGATTAATATCATCAAATCTTGTCAGTTGATGCATAATAGCATCAGGATATGTTGAACAATAAGTAGGTCACAGTGGCCTACTTTTGGGATTTTTGGAACTATTCTTTATTAAATTCCTTTAAATGCATATCTTGGACACTCTGAAGCTTTATAATAATTAGGATTTAAACCTTTTCAGTTGATTTATCTTTGGGTTTTGGGAGGCATCAGCCAAAAATAGCTCACAATTACCTCATTTCTGAATTTTACACCTATTCAAAACCTTTACCTTAATATTTTGTGTTGCAGTGAACTTTTTTTTAAAATTGTAGAATTACTCATTATCAAATCTTTTTAGTTTGGATACCAATAAGCTTAAGATCAATGAACTTTGTCTGTTGATGTATCTTGGAGCCTTGGGATATGTTTTACCAAAAGTAGGTCACATGTACAGTGAGTTACTTTTGATTTTAGCAGCTTTTTATTTCTTAATTGTTTTAGAAGCACATCTTTTACGCTGAAAAGCCTAAGATCATCAAACTTTGTCTTTTGATTCACTTTAAGACTTCAGGAAGTGCCAGCTAAAATGGGTGATTCGTTGACCAACAATATGAATTTTATGATTATTTATCAAATGGAACCTTTACATATACATTATTATAACAGTAACTTGATCCGAAGAGTCGTATCACGTAGAGTTGACAGGCGCGGATCATAAGATCAAACGAGACGCGAAGCGTCGAGTTTGATCTGATGATCCGCGCCTGTCAACGAGACGTGATACGGCTCTTTGGATCAAGTTACTGTTATAATGATAAATTTATTATATACCCCCCTTACAACTAGCAAAATATAGTTTTAAAAAAACTTTTGAGATCAATGATATAAGATTTTCCCATTAAACAAAGCATTTTGTCAAGGAACTTTTTGATGCGCATGAAAAATAACGTCACGTTTCTGTGTACTACGTCATCAATTTCAGAGAGGGGTGATATGGATTCAGAAAACCACAGTGTGGTGATCCGGAAAGTTGGATCACACCGTCACGTGATTGTACGAAATCTACAGTAAAATTGAGTGATACATACTTGGGTATATAATAAATACATGTATTTTGATTTTTGCGAATTTTTTTTGCAATTTACTGGAAGAGGGCTCCTTGGGTTCTTCTTTCTTGCTAATAGGTATGCCCACAATTCTCCACTAAAAGTAGGGCTCGTCAAAGCTCTACTATTATGAAGTCACAGTCACTGTGTTTCAAAAGTTATTGAATAAGCCATAGTTTGTATGATGTCTACTTTATCTGATGTATATACTTTTTATAGGCTGACTTCATTCTGATCTGTGTGTCTGAGAACTATATCGAGGAGACAGAGAGGTGCCAGGGTGAGGTTATCGACTCCACCTCAGACAAACAGCTCCACACTGACTACATCTACCAACTGATGGTCCTTGAATACAACCAAATTGGCCGTAACAGACGTTTCATTCCTGTCATGTTAGATGGCACTTCTGAGGAACATATCCCCTCCTGGCTACAAAATACACTTTTCTACAAGTGGCCCACCCATTTTAGGGATCTTTTATGGTTCCTCACTAAACCAGAAACACGCATAAAAACAAAAGCTGTGAGTGAGAGGAGGTCATCAGAGGAGGAAGAAATGATGCCGGATTCACCACCAGCTGCAGCCGCCACTTAAAGGAAGTGGTTGGTGTTATTGGGTATTGCTGGCTTGTTGACACTAAAAGTGAGGGTACATGGTCATTGAATGTGTAAATAAACTGAACAAGAAAGTTTTCAATCAGTGCTGTTTATGTATTCCAATATGTTTGTTCAAGTGTCAAGGAATGAAGGCTTAAGGACTCATTGTTTATTGATGCCCATTTGTTTTTTCTCTGTGTTTTATTTCATGAAATCTCTAAACACATGATTTGTTGACTGGTATTCCAGTCTAACAGGAGCTCAGCTCAGATGGAACACAGGCTTAGCAGCTATATTCTAACTACAAATGCCTTTAAGCTCAGCTATGATTGGACATAAGGAATCAGTTTCTGAGCTCTGATTGGAGAAAGGACTCAGTAGCCTGGTTCTTTCCTGTTATGTGTGGGTATTATGGCCATGTTTGTTTCTGATGAAAATTAATGTAATCCAAGTGTTGTTACTGTTGTTGATTTTTAATTATTTATGAATGATCTCATTAATCTGATGTACATGTAAGTGTTGATGTGTTGGAGAATATTTAAGGATCTGAGGGAAAAATATCAAGATGAAAAATGTTTCATGTTTTTATATACATCAATCCTTTAAAAAGTTGACAACTTAATGTATTAAAGAGTCACCTTTCTTGAAGGTACTGTTTAGAAAAAGATTGCCATTTTTTTTAAAGATAGTGATAATCTGTGTGATTGGAGTTGGAATGACCTCTGTAGGTGCCATATATAAGTAAAATGATCTTTCTTAAGATATTTCTTATCAAGAGTATTTTATACATAAATGTTCATTTTTAAAATGTATTTAATTAAAAAGTGATGATATTAAATTTTAGAATCATGAATGTTTTTGAGAAAGTGTTATTTTTTAAACTAAACTCAAAGACTCCCTGAATACCAAAAACTGTTTACGAAAGGTGCATATAGTAAGATTTGTTTTTTATTACTGGTATATGATGTGCATTAGAAATACTTGTTTGTTTTACACTGGTACGTATAAATTGTGATATTCTTTCTGAGAAAATTATAAATGTTAATATAAATAAGTAAAGGACAAGCCATTGTTGTTTAAAATCATGCTTGGCTAGAATAGAAAGCTTGTGCTATCGTCAGTTTTCATGTTATCCATCTGATTTTACCTTATCACTTTTATTTAAATTTATTCTTTCATTTGAATGAATGCTTCCTATTTTACGGATATGTGAGATTTTAGATATGAAAATGCTTCTTTGGACATACACACTTTTAATAATGCTAATGCTAAATAGAAGGTAAAATAAATAATACCATTTTCACATATATATCTACATGCTACAATTTTTTTTTATTAAAGCTGTTTGTTTTCATATAAAAATCTATGAGAAAAAAATTTTTAAACAATTTTTACCTTTGTTTGATTCCATGTTTGTTGAATTCCATTTTCAATTTGTATAGTAGCATTATTTTTTAGCATCACTTGAACATTTATTAATTTTCAGAAATATTTGCATTCCAAACATGATTGTCATGATTACTTTAAAAAAAATTTTTGCATTCTTTTCTATGAATAAAGAAAAAAAAATGTGGCATTTTCGGTTAAATAAATGGGCATTCCATTCGTGTTTTGATGCATTCCAAAATCTCTTGTAAAATGTTTTTCATTATGGACATTGATTACCTTTTTTCATTTAACTTTGTTACAGTTTTTCTTTTGTATCCAAGTTTATGATATTATACATTTTCATACTTTGCAATTACCCTGAAATTTCAAGAATTCCTTTTCCAGAAGGTTTTTGCAATGTCCTTTGAAGATTGGGCAAGTGCAATACTGTTAGTTTAAATTGTAGTTCTGTGAATCTAATGATTGAAACTTTTGAAGAATTAAACTATTTAAGAAGTAATTTCATTTGTTTTGTCTTCTAAGGTGCATTTGATTAGTTAGAACTTGTAAAATTCATTTTTATGGTGGAAATGTTGTTGCCTTGGAAACAGTTTTAAATTTTACTGTTAATTTTGTAACAGTTTAGTGGTTATTGTTGTGCAACTGTTTTATAAAAAGTCAAATATTACCTGTACATTTATCAATATTTTCTTCTTGCTGGTCAGTGATATTTTGTACATGTATTATGTTAAAATGTAGACTTATAGATATTCTTGATCTTTTTTGATTCTAAGAAAAAAATTTTGAAATGTAAATTTGATGCCATGAAATTATTATAATTCAAATTTTCAGGATTTGCTTTTGAGGCCTTGTTCCGTTTTTGGATAAACTGAGGGGATTGGGGGAGGGGGGAATCAGTACTGATTTTACCTTCTCCAAACAGGCTTGTTTTGTAAATTTTATAAACATTATTAGAATGCTTGTATTGAAGTATCAGGAAGCAAGGAAATAGGTTAGGAATCTGGTTGAGAGGGGAGGGGTGGGGTGGGGGGTCATTTTTGATCACTGATAAAAGATTTTACTCTCTCCAAAAAAGCTTGTTTCATAATTTTCTGAAATATTAAAGTATCATTAATTAGGGAGCAAGAGAAAAGGTGGGATGGGGGGTAATTATTGATCACTGATAAAAGAAATGATAAATTTGTGAAAAAAATATTAGATTTTCTATTTTTGATGGGAAAAAGTTTATCACTCCATAAAGTAAACTCCAAGTTTTGGAGATGGGTGGATTGCTCTTGTTTATTAACATTAAATTTAAGATGTTGTACTGTAATATTTAATCCTTTCAGAAGATATTTTGTAGATAATTTTGTTTGGGAAAGCTTTATTATGTACTCCGCTTCATAACTCTATTTCATGTCAAAGAAAAGCATCAATACAAAGATAATTTTAACTGTCATTTTTATGTAAATAGTATTGTATTTGTTATTGTTTGGCATCTATCCAATATCAGTATACCTTGTTAAATGTGCTGCCATGTAAACAAAATTGACATCAAGATTTTTAATTGTCATTGTAAGAATAATGAATTTTATATGCAACACTTGTTGTTGTTGTGTGTCTGGTATATTCAAACTGCAATTCTTATTAAGGCTTGAATTTTAATCCAGACTGAATAGTGATTTAAATGTTGCTTGAGAATTTCACTCATTTCAAAAATCAAATAATTCATTGATGATGCATCAATGATTCATGTCAAATATTTCACATTAGAAAATTCTCTGTCACTGATATGGAAACTAAAAGCATAAAAAAAATTAAAAACACATTTTATTGGAAGGGGAGGGGGGATAGCGATAATGCATAGAAGCTTGTTAATTAACTTCATATCATGGAGATGGTTTCCATGTAAAGCCTCCCTTTTACAATTTTATAGTGAAACACGATATCCGTTAAAGGGAAATCAGATCACAAAATTGTACATCTTCATATGACCTTTAACATACTTTACAGGGGTTTGAATTGGTGGGTGTGTAATTTCAGTTATTTTTTCCTTAGGCACTTAATCCTGGATACTTTAATTTTTAAAAAAATTAACAATTAATATTTTCTGTTTCTAGAATATATGACTATACACAGCATAAGAATGCTGTGAAAATCTTCAGAAGTTATCTCCCCCTCGACTACTAATCCTTTTTATGCCCCAGGATCGAAAGATCCCGGGGGTATATTGTTTTTGTCCTGTCTGTCTGTTTGTCTGTCTGTCTGTTGTCAACTTTAACCTTGCCCATAACTTTTGATTGGTTGGAGCTATGACTTTCATATTTCACATGTGTATTCCTTGTGAAAAGACCTTTCTTTGGGTACCATCATATTTGACCTTTTGACCTTGACCTTGGAGTTTGACCCACTTTTGCAAAATTTTATCAGACTTTAACCTTGGCCATAACTTCTGAACAGTTGGTGCTTGGGGTTTCAAACTTCACATGTGTATTCTTTGTGACAAGGCCTTCCTTTGGATACCAACAACTTTGACCTTTTGACCTTGACCTTGGAGTTTGACCTACTTTTGAAAAACTTTAACCTTGCCCATAACTTTTGGACAGTTGGTGGTTAGGGTTTCAAACTTCACATGTGTATTCCTTGTGACAAGACCTTTCTCTGGATTTCAACCACTTTGACCCTTTGACCTTGACCTAGGAGTTTGACCTACTTTTGAAAAACTTTAACCTTGGCCATAACTTTTGAATGGTTGATGCTAGGGCTTTCATACTTCACATATGTAATCCTTGTGACAAGACCTTCCTTTGGATACCAACCACTTTGACCCTTTGACCTTGACCTAGGAGTTTGACCTACTTTTGAAAAACTTTAACCTTGGCCATAACTTTTGAATGGTTGGTGCTAGGGCTTTCATACTTCACATATGTAATCCTTGTGACAAGATCTTCCTTTGGATACCAACCACTTTGACCTTGACCTTGACGTTTGACTTTTATTTAAAAAACTTTAACCTTCGCCATAACTTTTGAACAGTTGTATCTAGGTCTTTCAATTTTCACAGGTGTATTCCTTGAGACAAGATCTTTCTTTGGGTATCAACATTTTTTATCTTTTGGCCTGGATTTTGACTTGCATTTGAGAAACTTTAACCTTCGCCATAAGCTGCCATACAGGGGCATCAGTGTTTCACAAACACATCTTGTTCCTTGTTAGATCTGAGTGGTATTTGGCCCAGGAACTTCACTAAGATTTACAAAGTTTTACCTTGTCCTTTGAGTCAAAAACTTTTTTCAAGAACTCATAGCAAACCATTTAGCAAAAGATATAATTGGCCATTAGGAGAGGAACTATAATCCGGAAAAAAATATTTGAAGAAAATATGTCATCTTGAGGAAAAAACATAGTTCCAAGGTTATTGCACATGAAGGTCACTCTGTGGGTAAGGATATGCTACAGACAAGCAGTATTGTATGAAACAAGTCTGTGATTTCACCCTGTTCATGATTCTTATTCTTTACTCTGGAGTTATGATTGATTGATTATATGTTATTTTACGTCTCATTCGAGAATTTTTCACTCGTATAGAGACGTCACCATATACCGATGAAGGACTTCAAATTTAGACTTTTACTCGACACTCAGGGACATTGAGCAGTGAGGGATCTTTATCGTGCCCACGCCTGCCGTGACACAGGGCCTCGGTTTTTAAGGTCTCATCCGAAAGACGCACACTTTTCACAAGTGCCAAGCGCCTGGCGAAGGAACAGTTGTTACCTATTTTTTTTTTTATCGACTTAGGTCAGTCGCAGCCGAGATTCTAACTCACGGCATTCCGATCACGGAATGAGCGCTCTAACGACTGAGCTTCCGTGACGGCCTACTGGAGTTGTGAGATTGATCACTGTTTTATCTTCACTTTGACCTCTGAGCAATTGCATGTCCTGTATCTCTGTTGGTGGACAGTATGGGAGGTATATGTTCCGTGGATATTGGAAAGAACAAGAATTTCACGCAGGCTGAGAAGCCGCCCATTATAAAAAGGTGTCACTTTTTCGCACCTTTTTCGCACCTACTGCGACACGGGACCTCGATTTATACGTTCTCATCCGAAGGACCGCTCTCCACGTCCCGCAGTGGATTTGAAACCGCGACGTTAGATCAGGATTATATCATCATTACAGGACAATAATTTTATGCTAAAACTTGAGAAAATCTGAGTTGTGTATCTTCAAACGTCTCTGGGATTGAATGCAATCTTTGAAGGCTTGTTTTGGAAACGAAGAAAAATGTCGGAATATTTGAAATAAATGAAGGTCATCAACATCTTTATAAATATTTTAATTCCCCCGACCATTCTCTCCTTTCAATGAGGGCCGGAATTTTGGGAAGAATTTACCAACCCACAAATAGCCCTACTTATAGTAATCCAATCGGTAAACAAAGCGAAGAATACTGGATTGAGAAACTAGGCATTTTCGTATAGTTGTAACGACCACGTATTGTGGGAAACTTTCCAGCTCAGAGTGTGCCAGTGTGAATGTAATAAGACTTTTAAACAATTCATCAAGACGTAAGAGTAGTCATGGACATTTTTCATACAGTAAGCCCAATATACATGATGTTTCATTTGATTCTATTAGGTCTACATCAATCTGATTAGAATCAGGTCTTTGCGATATTCTGAGCTTGGGGGCTGATTTTAATCAGATTGGGTCTACATCACATTCGCATTAAACTTGATTCTGCTCCCTTTAAAAATTTATATGGAGCTTAAGTCCATACTTGGCTTCTTCAACACCAAAATACAGACTAGTTTTCATGATTATGGATGTTGCCCAATCTATTTAAACTACCACAAATTACGGAAGAGATTGATTCGGAATCAAACCGTTGATTTCGAATAAGCTTAATTAAATTGTTAACAAAGATATAGATACATGTAGGGCTCACGGCGGATGTGACCGGTCAACAAAGATATAGATACATGTAGAGCTCACGGCGGATGTGACCGGTCAACAAAGATATAGATACATGTAGGGCTCACGGTGGGTGTGACCGGT